ACCTTGTCTGCCTATGTCCGTAGACCAACATGGCTACAAACAGCAACCCTAAATCATTTTTTATATATTTAGATCTTAAAGAAATCCCAGGCCTTCTCTATACATGAGTCTCAATCTAGTTACTTTACTTACTAGGACCCTGTCTTTTAAAATCAGGCATTTACCATTATTCTTGTGCCCACACCTCTTACTAGAGATCTATAGTTCTGTGGCACATTTCAGAATCAGACCCTAAATTGCAATTTCCTTATGAGAGGAAATGTTTGTAAATGTTATGCTCATACATAAAACAATAGAAAATAATAAATGCTACTCTGTCCAGAAGATAAAAGAGATGCTCCCAAGCTCCTAATTTGGCACTTTATACAAACATAAACTACTTAAAAATGACTTTGTTGGGGCTGTTTACAGAGGTAAGTGCTGTGGACTCAGCCTCTGCATGCAAAATAAAAGCAAGTTTACTTTTTTGCCACTGCTGCAACTGCTTTATGTCTCTACTAGCTGCAGCATTGTAGAGACTGTTCAAACCAAGGAATAACTTGTCTAGGAAATGACTGCTCAGAAAGTAAAGAGGAAAAGTGGGAATTTCCCTGGAGGGAAGCCCTCAGGTAACATTAGAATATTTTCCTGTGAAGGATTAGGGCAGGCTGCATGTGTACTGCTGATGGCAGAGAATGAGGGTGTGTGTGTGGATCAGGTGCATAAATGCTGAGTATAGGTGGCCTCTGACTGTGAAAGTAGGACTGGCAAATGTGCTTATATGGATTTTGAGAACCACATACTAAAGTTTAAATTGCCCTTGCCAGGGCAGTCTCCCTTATCTCAAAAAGTAGCTCAAGGCTAAGTAACCTGCATGATATGCCAGAAGATGTGGTGTAGAGAGAAGGGGCTCTGAATGGGCTGCCAGGGCATCAGGTGTGAAACAGTCACTAAGCAGTGAAAAAATCAAACCTCTTCTTGACGAGTTCAGCTGGGTTGCCAATGGTAGCTCTATGCATATGTTACCATTTGTAGGGACAGTAGAACAGACCCCCCAAAACCCCCAAATTATTGTTTTATCAATTAAAGAATAAAGTTTTCCATTTTCATTGAGTTTGGACTTGGATTAACAATGTACTTTTATGATTAATAGGTAAAATATTAGAGAAGCTACTGGGAAAATGAATGCTTCTATAATTGGAAGATGTGATAATATCTGGGCATTTGGAAAAAAAAAAGCCAGCACACATCCCTTAGAAATGGTTTATTCTGTTTACTTTCTGAATATAGAGATATTAAAATATGTACAAAATTATAAAACATTGTGCATTACAGTGCATTTATAGTCAGTAGCAAAATTATATTTGTGTTGGCATTTGGTAGCAAGTTATTGTTAAAAAAGGCACTCCTGTTGCAATTTTAGTGGGAATAATATATGCGCAGACTGTTTTTTACTTTGCAATTCAAGTCTCTTCATATCCATTCATCTTAATAATAGCCTTTCCACCCATCTTACAAAATTCTCTAGTGACATCTGAGTAATTTGAGCTATATAATGGGTGAAAACATTAAAAAACATATTTGAATCCCAAGAACGTACTTACAGCTAACATTACGTTGACTGTGTTAAACGTTCAAAGTACCATTTTACTCATAAGCATTCAGTTTAAAAAAAAGGACACATTATTTCACTGGTCTGGTGCAAAAAAAATGTAACACCGCTCCACAAAATATGAAGCCAGATTTTGCCTTTATATAATGTGCGAGGCCATGTGAAACAATTAGGGCTGTGAGCTTATAATTAACAACGAAGTTTACTTCTGCTAGGTAAAGCAAAAGCCACACAAAATGTTATCTTCACTGGAAAACTAAATTTTCAGTTAATTGGAAATGTCTTTCTGTGATTTCTTTCCAAAGCATTAATATTGAAGAAATATAATAGCTATGGCCAGTAGCTTTTATTTCTCCCCCAGAGGGACAATCTACTGTGTGCCCTTTAACAGCCTGATTCTGTGAATTGCTAAGTACTCTTTATTTACACAGGCAGGCAAGGATATTTGAGTAGACGTGATATCTTTTATTAGACCAACTGAGCAGTTGGAAAAAAGTTCTTGGCAAGGTTTCGGGCACACACACCCTTCTTCAGGCATTGGGAGTCTCTCCTGGTCTGAGACTCCAAGAAATGAGAGAAGCTAAAAGTGTGGCAGGATGTCAGTGAGAATGTAAATACGTAGAAATTAGAAAGACAAAAGGTAAAACAGAGAGGTAAAGCAGAGAGAGGAGGGGGAAGAGAGCAGGAGAGAAAAAGGGCTAAAGGGAGGCATTACAGTGATAGAATACAAGGTAGAAAAGAGGCTGTCAGTGAAAAGGAAAACAGCAGGAGATCAGGAAAACCAGAATGAGAGGAAGATAAAGGTATTTACTACTTCATAGGGAACTGATCTGTAAATTCCCCAAGAGATGATCTGTTAGAGGGAGAATCAGTCATCAGTTTTCAAATTTGTATTTATTTATACCTCCTGCTTTCTGATTTACATTGTCTTTTCACAGCATTGAAGTTTCATTTCCCCATTCTCCCTCCACAGTGTTAGATTATCATCTCAAGTATTTCCACAGATAGGAGCTGCTCATTGCAGCGGATGGCACAGCAGTGTTCCACCACTGCAGACTAAACACCATCCAAATTGTGCAGGCCCAGCTGGGCAAACTGAACGAAAATCAGTTTCCCTGAGAATCAGTCCAAAAACCATCCCCTCTCTGCCCCCTTCAGATAGACAGAGCCCTGAGAAAAAAAATCACTGCTTTGTATAATCCTGCATCCAAGCCAAACTCTTTTGCTCTAATCAGGATGGCTCTGCAGTTCTTGGAATCATTTGGCTCTTTATCTTTGCCCCTCATCAACTTGATGAGTCTTAATGCAAGAGCTAAGCATATGGTCTATATTGAACCATCACAGATTAGTGCTCCATGAGGACATAGCTAGAAGAATATTGATCTCTGCAATATCCTACATGTAGCATTATACAGCCTCTAGGCATATAATTTAATCTGTTACAAACAGTAGTGCATATTATCCCACTGAATGTGAAACTCATGAAACTTTTAGTCCAGAGATGTAAATACTTGATCTCTTCACGCTAACATAAGAAGGCAGTCACTGGGGCATTACAGCTCCCAATGTCTTGTTTACAATCATTTCAAATTTCCATGAAAGATGTCTGATTACATTTTTTTCTGATTGCAGCTGAATGCAAGGAACTAACTGCTGCTCTCTATTTTAATGAGCAATCTAAAAACTGAGACGTTATTTTTGTATGTTTGGTTCACCGGGAAACAAGAGAAATACTCTGAAGATACTCTGTGGATTCCATTATAAAGTCAGTCCACTCCTGAGCAAGGTCTTCAATGGAGACTTCCTCCCCTCCATATTCCTGTGGGAGAATGCTGGCTGGAAAGTGTTGAGTCAGGCTCTGTATGTAATTGCTTCCATGCATGTGTACCTGAAACCAGAAAGGTGGCTTGAAAATGGCTTTCTAGGCTTATCAGATACACATTTACTTCTGCTTGAATCCCATAGTATTGTGTGAAGATATTAAGCAAGCCGAGAACCATAGGTGTGAGAAGTGAAACAAGCTAGTTTTCACAAAATGCTTTCAGTGTTGTTATTGTCAGTAGCTATGCAACAAAATATTCAACAGAAGTTTTCTCTGTGCGAATATGCTGTGGCTGTCTCAGACTACCTCCTCTTTGAAATGCAATCCTGAGAGATGCTGAAATTTCAGGGAACTGTGCTTTACATAGCTGCAAGCATAGCAACCAAATCTTGCTCTATGTGCTGTTTCTGCACTAATGTAATTATTTTCATTAGAGAAAGCCTTGTATACCCACATAATTAAAGTGTAAGAAGACCAACCTTAAAGATCTGATCTTGCACAAAAGTCTGATCATTTTGGATAGGCATCTGGCTGGGGTCATCTGACCCCAGCACTGTTTCCTGCGTAGGCAGGGGGTTGAGCTCGATGATGTGCTGAGGTCCCTTCTGACCCCAGCATCTATGATCTATGACTATGCAAACCAGTGTGAAAGGTGGTTGGCCTAACAGGATCAGATAGAAAGTATCACATTCTTAAAGATATTTAAGTGCCAAAAAAGTCAGATAGGCATCTAGTGGAATTTTCAGAAGTGCCTGGATACTTGATTCCAACAGAAATCAGATCCCTTGCTTTCAAGTGAATTCAGATGTTTTAACCTGTCATTACAGTAAAAAAAAGCTTTCTTTTTGGTAATTTTTCCAACACTGGCTTACAGTATTTTGATGCCTTGCTCACTGCTCCCGTTGCTTAAATGGCCAGCATCTGATTGTTAACATTTAACAAGAATTTTCTGCAGATGAAAATGGCACAACGACTTCCAGGAATAAAAGCATAATGAAGTGAACAGGTGGTTAACTGTCTTTTTGTCAACACTCCATGATTGGGAGCAGAGAGGGAGGGAGATAGCACCATCTGCTCCTCTTGAAGCCAGTCCTGCTGGCCTCTTCCCCAGACCACATGAGCCTGGGCTCACTTTAAGTGGTCTTATTGATCCCAAACTTCTTCTGTTCCACTTCATCAACTGTGGGCCTGCCTATGTTGGTCTTTCATCTGGGATACAGGTTGTAGCTGGGTTGGTTTAAGGACACAGGCAGACAAGGTTCTTTGGGTAAATCTGCAATATTTTATTAGACCAACTCAAATAGTTGGAAAAATTCTTTGCAAGCTTTTGGGTATAAATACCCTTCATCAGGCTGAGGAAGCATCTGCAGTTGATACATGCTCTTCCTGGATGGAATGAATAGCTAAGAAGCCAGAGGCTGGTATACGCTATGCAGTGGTGTCTTCCACTGTGTTTGCAGTGCATGGAGCATAATGTTAGGGCTCAATGAATAATATTCACTAGAATTTAAAAGAAAGGACCAGAGACCAGGGCTCTAGTCCTCCCTCTACTGAAGACTTGCTGTGTTCCTTATTATGAAAACTGTGATGATACCAATCTCTTGCCACTCTCAGATCATTAATATTTATACAGAATTTTTCTTCTACAAAAATCTCTGTCAAAATGAAAGTATAAACCTGACAGGCCATTCAGTGCTCAAGCACTAGTGACCCAGGTCCTCATGAAAGTTTGATGGCTGTAATTTTTTTGTGGAAGAAAAGAAATATTTATGATTACTTACCCGTTCCTTTATTTTTTCAGTGAGGAAAGGTTTAATTAGACTGAAGACGGGGTGGAAAAATAAAGGCTCATTAATCAAGTGGATGCCACGAACCTTTAGTGGAAAGGAATCCTGTCAAAATAACAACAGAAAAAAGAGCAATTATTAGTAAGATGGTTTCCTTATGGCCAAGTGCAGCCTAGTGCATAGGTTAGAGCACCCCCTCCCCCTACCTTGTTAACTCTTGCTTGGAGTACAGATTTCCCTCGCTTTATGCTGTACATGTGTTCTTGGAAAACAGCATATAACTCGGATTTGCGCAAAGGGAACCCACTTTACAATGTAACAAACAGGAATATGTTCCAAGACCTAGACTGTGCTGACCCCCAGACCCATTTCTACCACTTTTACAAAACAATTTTGGTACTCACCAACAGCACAGTTGAAAATAAGCTAGAGGGACGCTTAAAGGCCATAATGGGGATGGCAACTACGGAAACATGTTACAGACAATGAGTGAGGAGCACAGATCCACACAGGAGATGATATTTTGGTGCATGTCACTCCCACAATGCACTGCACAAAGCAGCGGACTGCAGACTTCCAGCACACCCATCTCATAGGAGTGAATTTACCTCGCATATAACAAATTTTTGATATAAAAAGGTCATCGCATGAGAGTGACTTCACACATACAGAACCTGCATAAAGCGAGGGAAACCTGTATTTACCGTTTATGTTTTCTTGCTATTAAACTTCAGAAAAAAGAAGTCTAAACTAATTCCTCTAATTGCATTGGGAGGAAATCACTGCAGTAAGAAGGAACATGATTTGCTTTATCATTAGATCTGGCCTTTTCACAAGCCTCCAGTTCTGTGCAATGCAGAATGTATGACAAAGGTATCCAAAAGCCAGACAGCCAGCAGCTTTCCTTGGCAACTCACATCATATTCTGAAAGAAGGTCCTCTGTTAGGGCTGAGGGGAAGATTTGCCAAAAATGAACTATTTATTTTCAAAATAGTGAGTCAAAAGAGTTTAAAGTAGCTTTTTAGAGCATCAAGAAAGAATCGTTTCTTTAAAAAAAAATCAAAATGAACGTATAGAAACACTCAGAATCAAATATAAATCACTGAAATTTACTTACAAAAATTGTTTTTATGACACAATTTTGGAAACATCCTGGTCTTAAGGGGAGTCTTGCCTGAGTCATGAGGTGAATTTTTTTTACCTTGTGAGAACTGAAAAATTTAGCTGCCATATAACCTCCGTAATATAAAATGTTAATTTGTATTAAAAATGAATTGGAGTGCCACAACTGAAAGGAAATATGGCCAGTATTCAAAGATACTTTATCTGGATCAGAGCAGGGGTGTTGCGCCCACAGACCAGCCCTGCACTCCAGATCTAGTGCATGTCGTGGAGCAGCTGGAGTGAGCAGCATGTGCAGCCCAGTCCTGCTCCGGCTGCTCCAGGGCTGTGCTGCATGGCCACGAAACCGCCACTGTGGGACTGTAGTGCCCTGGAGCCACAGAGTGATCACTGAGCGCAGCATGGCCCTGGAGTGGCGGGCAGTCACTACGGTGCTGTGCTGCACATGGTGGCCACTCATCCAGGGCTCTGGAGTGCAAGCTGAAGCAGGTACATAGGCCATCCAGCCTGTCTGCATGCTGCCTGTGGGTCACTGAGACCCACAGGAAGTACCAGTGGCTGGATGATACAGCTCAATGGGCTGTATCTTTAAGACTCCTTTGGAATAGAGGAAGAGCAGCCTGCTTTCAAACCCTGCTTCACTGCTACAGCTCTGGTGACTACAAGTTTCTTCCCTCTTACCAAAGTCAACTTAGAATAGCAGTCACAAATGTTTTCCGTATCAATATTACACTAACTTTTCTTCTCTTACAATTTTGAACTGATGAGCTCTTATCTAGATTAAAAATCAAACTTGCTAAATGCAACTGTTTTCAGGAACTTTTTAACAATGGGATAAAAATCACACCTCATAGTACCCCCTTCAAAGGATCTGGTGGCATTCAAGGTGCCCCATCACCCTTGTTAAGAGTCACTGCCTAAAGAATGTATGGCGATAAAAAGGACCCGAACTTCCAAGCAAGACGAGAAGAAATGTCTCCATGAAAAATACTAGCCTGAAGAGCACAGTTGTTTTGTTCCTTCAAGCTGCATGATCTCTGCAAGGTTTTAATCACAAGGAATTTTTGCCATAGTCTAGCCCTTTGGCAATAAAGCAAGTAGAAAGAAGTATCAAGCCTACTGTGACCACAGCAGCAATCCTCCTGGCCACTGTCGGACAGATTTGAAATGCATGAGCAAATCGCCACCCTTGAAGATCAAAAATTGCCTTGACTCCATTCTGCTGTGTCTCTGTCTCCTTTACGATGAGCTCTGATGTGATAAGACTTACGCGAAACACATCATATGCTGTAAACATCTTGGGATCCCATTGTCCTAAATAGCAAATAGGTTGCATTGCATTACCAAATGGACATTGTGTCAAGACACAATTCCACTTGCAACAGCTTTTAATTAGTTCCTCAAGTACAAAAAATAAAAGTAAACTGCATACAGAGCGTATGTGCCATTTTCTTTGAGACTTCTCAGATCCTGCAACAGATCATTTTGTCTGTTCAGAAGTCATGGTACCTCTGGTCTGGCTCACCTTTCATCTTCTGCTCTGCCTGGTCACTCAGGCTCTCAGCAGTCAATTTTTCCTAAGAAGAGAAAGCCTGTTTCGAAGTTTAACAAAATGTTTGCTTCGAGAATTATCTAGTTCGTCAATGAAAGTAAAAATCTTATTGGGAAGAACCTCACCAAACTCCTCAGTACAGCATCTAGAAATAAAATGACTATAGTTACCCTTGACAAATTAACATGTTAAAACTACAACTTGCCTTGTCTATACTAAGATTTGAACAAGTTGGCCAACACATTAAAAATACACCTCTTTTCTTAGTGAAGATAAGTCTTGCATTACTGGTCTCTCTTTAGCACTTAGTGTGTCTCTGATCCTTGACTAGGGTTTCTAAGATCTCCTGTAAGAGAAGTAAACAACAATAACAGTAATGGTGGGGATAGTAAATACAGTAGTTAAAAAGGCAGACAGCAATTTAACACTGATTCACACACAAGTTTAACAGGAAGTGAACAACACTTTATCCAGTTGTTTTGAATGTGATACCTTTAAGTAGCTGAAGAACAAACATTTAAAAATGTTTGTGGCACTTAAGTCCTTCCAGAATCTGTCAAATGAGTTTTTCAGTTTAGGGGTATAGGTTGTAGCCGTGTTGGTCTAGGGACATAGACAGACAAGGTTCTTTGGGTAAATCCAGTATCTTTTATGAAACCAACTCAAATAGTTGGAAAAATTCTTCTTTGCAAGCTTTTGGGTACAGGAACCCTTTGTCAGGTTGAAGTGCCTGCAGTTAGTCTGTGCTCTTCCTGGATGGAATAATAAAGAACCCAGAGGCTGGTATGCATGTGAGAAAGCCAATCAGTGAAAATGCAAATTGAAGTAGTCAATAGGTGAGAAGCAGGTAGGTGGGGGAGAAATTTGAGACCCTATATTTTTAGTTTCTGCTTTGTTATGTCATTGACATCATTATGTTTTTAGCATCTTTAGCAGCTTTTCTGGCAGTTCAGAAAATACAATTTGAGACTACCATCCAAAAGATTAAGGGCCCTCAGAGTGTTCCTGATACTGCATACCGAGACAATTTGGATGTTTCCAAATAGTTTTGAAAATCCCTTGGTTGTCTGCTTGCCATTGGAACCCTCACTAGATACCTAAGTAGCTACACACTCCCACACAATATTATGGAAATATTGGATTTCCCGTTTAACCTTACCCCTTTTCTAACCTTTGCCACTGAAGTTGGCCTTGAATCCAATTGGAAATTGTTTTCATTTAGCCATTGAGCATAAAGATCAGTCTACACACAAAATTATACCCCTTTACCTTTACCTATACAATGTTATGGTTAAAACAGTACAGACCCTACTTGTCCCAGCCGGACTTCAATATGGACACAGTTATATTGGTATGAAAGTGTTTATTGCAGTACTCCCTATAAGGCAGGGAAAATAACTAATACAGTATAGTACAGTACTGGATTATATAGTGATATAACTAGCAGTTGTACGAGTAAAACGATGACAGCAGAAAAATTTCAACCCTAATAAAAATGTTTATACTGGTACTAACACCAAAGTGTAAGGAAAGTCCTATGCTATAATAAATAGTTGTTACCTACCAATCCTATAAATCAGAACTCTGCTGCCATGTGGGTCTCTCGATCGCAGAACTCCATGGTAACCAGCACGCAGGAGATTAAGAATAGAAGATGGCTGTAAATCTGCAGTTATTTCTGGGCATTCAGCTCTCCACTTGTGATAGTTCTTCAATAACTGTAGGAAAAAGAAATGCTCTGACCAATGAACATCAGGTAACTGGGAAGCAAAGTATAAGTATACAGAAAAAGTGTCTTGGACCAGTGAGTCACAGCTATATGACTAAAACTTCTATCATTTCAGTGCTTATATTATATTTACTTTAAATAAAAGAATCTTAAGCAGAGAGAAACTACCAAACTGGGTCACACCAGGGGGCCGGAATTCTGTCTTTTAACAGTAGACTGGAATCACTATTTCAGGGGAAGATGTTACAAACTCTACTGTAGACTGTTATGGAATGATCCACATGGAAAGTTTCTGCTTTACTTCCCATCAGATGTTACCTTATGCTCTAAAAAAACAGGCGTGTGTGGCATTAGATACTTTAAAAATATTATTTTAACAGTGGATATTTTTATCATCCATATCAGTGTCCAGACCTTTGTAATCCTGATCAGTTTGGGTTTCAGTGAGACTTTGTGCCAATGATCTCTCTGGTTTGCTAATATATAGAGTTACTGTCATCTTAAAGTTTAGATTTGCTGCCTTTCTGTCTCCTTGACTGTGCCCCTCTATACTATTCTTTATTTTGTTTACTTTCACCATGCCTCATTTAAGCAGTAATGTAACAAGGTTGGGGTGAGAGGATTACTAGCCCTGGTAGCCAACTTAGACAGGGTGCCAGGTTGACCCCCTCCCTCTTTGGAGTCTTTCCTGTGGCAGGCACAGAGCTGAGCAGGTGCAGCGAGAGGGGGCAGCACCATGCTCAATAGAATGATGCTTTATCATGGGAACTGCAAACTTGCCCCTAGGGCTAGGGGGCAAATGTGGCACCAGGAAGAGCTCCTGAGAGACAGCCCTGCTGCCTGTGCCTCAGTGGCTCATTTTGCCAGGAGACAAGCAATAGCAATAGCGACTGCTGCTCAAGTGAAAAGAGCCCTGCAGGTAACATCCTTCCCTCACTGTTCAGTAGTAAGCACATTCCTTCCCACCATCCATTTAGTGCTCAGAGCAGGGTAAAAACTTCCTACACCTCTGCATAGATGTCTTGTTTCTAAAGTGTATAGCTCCAATCCCTTCACTCTTCACATAAAAGGTCTTCCATGATTCTAAGAATACTTTTGTTCTTGTTTTTATCTATTTCAGATCTTCCCCTACAAACTCTTTCAAAGTGTGACCAGAATATAGCATAGTATCCAGTGCGTACTTCTGATTTCTCTTGTACAATGGTATTTTTAGAACGATTAAACATTTTCCAGCCTATTTCTTATATATCTGTCTGGCTTTCTCTTTTTTCCCCTCTTAATTGCCATTATATCTTATATGTTCACTCATCTAGGTACCTTCTGGAATAAATTATGCAGAGGGCAGGGCAGAGTGGTACCTAAAGCCCCCTCTACATGTTATACTATTGTGCTATTTCCTCATTAATTGTGCAATAAATTTAGACTGATGCAGGGGGTGCCCAGGATTGGGTTTCCCTGCACCAGCAATGAGACACAATGGGATCTAATGTGTGATCCTACAATCATGCCTCTTGCCACACGTCTGGCGTGGCAGGAAGCACGATTATGTGGATCACGCATTAGATCTGAGCATGCCTTTATCTTCATGTGCAGAGGACGCCTTAGAGACAGACTTGTCCAGATGGGCATAAGCTTTTGTAGGCAACAATCTACTTCATAAGATGGTATCTTTGAACATAAGTACTGCCATTTACTGGATCAGACCATAGGTCCATCTTGCCCAGTACCTTGTGTTACACAGTGGCAGAGTGGATGCTGGAAGGGAGAGTGAACAGGGTGTGACCACATCTTTTTCCACTATTCCTCCCTCACTGGCAGCCTCCAACATTTAAGGTCTAGGAAGTTCTGATTCAGAGGCTGTACCCCTAATTCCCATGTTCAATAGCTACTGATGCACCTTTCCTCCAATAATTTTTTTCCAATTCCTTTTTGAATCTGGATAAACTGTCAGCCTCCACAGTATTTGGTAGCAATGAGTTTCACACTTGAATTATATGCTGTGTGAAAAAAGTTCCTTTCGTTAGTTTTAAACTTACTACCTACTAGTTTTATTTTATGATCCCTAGTTCTTGTATTGTATGAGACAGTGAATAATAAATACTTATTGACTTTCTGTTCTCTATTTAGTATTTTGTAAATCCTTATCATGGCCCCCCTCAAGTGTCTCTTTTCTAAACTGAATAGGGCTAACCTCTTTAGTCTTGCCTCATATGGAAGCTGCTCCATACCGCTAATCATCCTTATTGCCCTTCTCTGGACCTTCCCTAGTTCTTCTATATCCTTTTTGAGGTGTGGAGACCAGAGTTTGGAACAATATTCAAGGTGTGGATGCACCATGGATTTATAAAAAGGCATGATGATTTTTTCCATTTTCGTTACAATTCCCTTCTTATTAATCCCTAACATTTTGTTTGCCTTTTTGATGGCTGCTGAGTGAGCACTGAGCTGATGTTTTTAGCATACTGTCCACAATGCCTCCCAGAGCTCTTTCCTGTGTGGTAACAACTAATGCAGAGCATTTCATAGTGTAGGCATAGTTTAGGTTATTTTTGCCCAGGTGCATCACTTTACATTTATCTACACTGAATTTCATCTGCCATTTAGTTGCCCATTCACTCAAAAGTGCCAGAGTGTAGTACCTTACAGTCTACTGCCTTGGTCTTTACCACTTTGAATAATTTTGTGTCATCGACACTAATTTGGTGAATTAGCTATTCATCCCCTTTTCCCAGATCATTAATGAATATGTTAAAGAGCACTTGTCCCAACACAGATCCCTGGGAGACCCTACTGTTTACTTCTTTCCAACCTGAAAACTGACCATTTATACTTTCACCTTGTTTTCTATCTTTAAGCCAATTTCTAATCCATGAGAGGACCTTTCCTATAATTCTGACTACCTAACTCCTTTAAGTGCCTCTGCTGGAGTACCTTGTCAAAGACTTTTTGGAAGTCCAGATCTATTATGTCAACCAGATCACCTTGGTCCACCACCAAAGAACTCAAGTAGGCACCTTATTGACACCCCAAAGAACTCAAGTAGGCACCCTCAAAGACCCCAAAGAACCCCCAAAGAATTCAAGAGGCATGAATCTCTAAGATGCTACCCTGCCCTGCCTTCTGCCTGACTTTAGACTAATATACCTGGTTTTTAATGGGGTGTAGTCATTGTTTAGTGCTTGATCAGGGAACCATAATATGCCAGTAGCTTCTGCTCAAGAGCAGTAGAAACAGACTTTTACCTTAAATACCCTCACTATTACTTATCTTGACATTTGTTTCAGGTTCACCCAGAGGCTTCTTGAACACAGAAGGGACACGCACATTTTATAAGAGGAATTCTTCCTCCAAATGCATCAAGCTGTCTTACTGCACAATTCTCTCACACACCCTCATGAGAAACTTATTAAATCCACTACCATCATAACAGCTGCGAACAATCAGAATAGCCACAGCACATTTCAAAGACAAAGGTTTTCTCCCAGTCACATCATTAAGTAATGATGTAATGGATGCCTCTCCTTTTTTTTAATTGCTGATAAGCAGGGATCCTAGTTTTCTGTGGAAAAAAAAGCGAAAAAATCTGTTCAAAAAACACAAAAATCTGCATTTTTCTATAACCTACTGAAAGCATAGTGGCATCCCACAGTGAGTGGCACCATTTCTACTCTATTTTATTTTTTGTTGCAGTTTTTGTTTCCCAGCCAACCAGCAGCGCCTCCTCCTTCCATCTCTTCCCCTCTACTCCTCCCCCACTGCCGATTGGCTTTTGGCAGATGGTAGAAAAATGCAGATTCTGTGTTTTTCTGTGTTTTTCTGTAGCAAACAGAAAACTAGAATCCCTGCCGATAAAATACCGGCTTTTAGAAAGCAGAAGTAATAGAAGTCTCCCTTTAAAGAAACAACAAAAATCCTGTCTGTTGTACACTGTTTTTCAGAAGGAAATAATGCAGGTTTGTATGGCATTATGCACTACCACTACTGAAAAATAAAATGGACTCTGCATGCAGCTGGAATCTGCTGTGGATCTGAGTAAGAGGTCATTAAATTGTGTTACTTTTGGGTTACTTCCTGCTGGAGAACAAGAACGTATCGATAATTCCATGAAGAATAATCATGGAAAATTAAGCTGATGATGCAGTAGTTCCGATTTCAGAATGCACTGCATTTTTTCCTATTTAAGGAATGATTATTTCAATAACATATTTACATAAATATAACATATTCATATTAAGATTAACTATTTTAATAACCAAGGCTTTAATTGCTGTTGTGAAAATAGCTCTGCGGTGTACAGCAGGAATTGATTGTATTGAGCTGTGAATACAATCACTTTCTATTTGTTTGTACTTTGAAGAAATGGATAGGAATGACAGACAAGCTTGTGGAGTAGGTCCAGCATGCAGCTAGTGCTGGAGGTGAAAGTTCTGTAAATGGCTTGGCGTATAAACTAAGTGTTGTAAACCTTTGGTTAAGATTTTCAAAAATAGAAACCTAAAGCTAGGCTCCCAGTCTGACTTTTTCAAAGGAATCTCAGGAAGTTAGAGTTCAACAGAAGATGCAGTACCTAATTTCACAGATGAATGAAGCAAAACTAAGAAAAACAGATTTAAATCATAATGGCAACATGAATAGAGCTTTATAAAATGATTGCGTTTTTAAAATTATTTTAGTAGTGCCATTAGGCCAGCAACACCGATATGATTGCAAACATAGTCGAAAGACATGAAGCATTTTCTCCATAGTATCAAGCTACACTGTGACTGAGGCCACCTGATCTTTTAGGTTACCTCATTTTTCAAGAAGTAACAGAGCTAGAAGTAAACAGTTACCATATCTTTTCTTTCCAATAAAGCATCATTGCAATGACTTCACAATATCTCACCTCCTGCAAGGATCCCCTGTTCTGGGCTATATTTCCAGGGTTTTCATTTGGAGACTATTCAAAGAATTAAAGTGAAACCTAAGTCTTATCATGTATTACCAGTTAGTAAGTTTATTTATTCTGACTAATGACTTCTTCCCCACTTTTAAACTCCTCTTTGTCCTAGATCAGTGTTTTTCAAACTGTGATGCAAACAGAACTTCTAGAGT